GTTTAGTATTAATTGTGTGTATCATTTTCATAAAAGTTTGTATACACATATTTACAAGCTGTTTGATATTTAAGCTTGGATGATAATAAATGACCCCCATTTAGTCTAACACATAAATTGTCTGATATAATTACAATGTAATTTTGATTTGGTGTCGCCATACTTTTATTGATTTGATTGATATTTAAATTCTTGCTTTTATATTGTTTCTTTTTTCTAATTGTATATTTTGTTTTTATTATTGACAGATAACCCAATAATCTATTTATACGATGTTGAAATACAAACAAAATAAATTTTTGTATGCTATTTATTAAATTCTCTCAGGGTTTTGGAATGTGATTAAAGTATGTGTCTTGTTTTATTTTAGTGTCTATGGATAATAATAAACAATTATAACAACAGTTTGGCCATTAACCCTTCACCCATCAAATTAACCTTAGCTTAAAAAATAATTATTTACTATTGTTATATTAAACTAATTAACTATACTTATATAAAAGTCAATTTTCTAAAATATTTGTTTTTTAAGTAAAAACCCATGTTTTTAAAGAAAAATATATAAATTTCTTTGGGCTAAAGGCGCCCTTGAAGATCCATCAAAATGCTTGGGCTGACAATAATTATTTAAAGTCAAAAACATACGTAAAATAATTAACAACTTGTAAAAAAAGGTTTGAAATGCGTGTCAAATAATTATGAATAAAAAAATAATTAATTAATTATTTTTTATGTTAAAAAAAAGTTATTACAAAAAAAATTATTTGGTAAACAAAAAAATAATTGTATTTCTTTTAAAATATTCATATTTAAACAATTGTATTTTAATTTAAAAATGTATTTTTTGTTAATCACACACATAGTTACCAATATGACAAGACATGGAATGATAAATAAACAATTAACAATCATGTTTAAATGGAATTTTTGATGTAAACATAAACCAAAGATAATAATTGTTTTTGACATATTTTTGATTTATGAATATATCTTTTATATTTAGAACGGGTGTGACTATTTTAATTGTAAAACTACATTAAAAACGATTATTTTCCAATAACTCACTGTCGATAATAACATGGAAATATCTTTATTGAATATGTATTATCTTTTTAATTTATTATGTCTGATTACATACATAAATAGCACATTATGAAAATGACATCACAACTGTTTTTGAATAGTGAAATAATAACATGATTATACATTTACTTTTAATGTTTGTATTTTGATAATTAAAATAAAATGATTTTTTATACTCTATACGTTCATTGTAAAAAAGGATAAAATTATTAAATGTGTAAACTTTTTGAGTGTGTAAACAGATAATTTCAAACTAAACAAATACAAAATTATTATAGTATAAAAAGAATGTGAATGGTTATTTTTGACGACTTGTGGTTCACACCCTTGTGTACATGTTAAGTTTAAATAAATTATATATTTACTGGTTAAAATATTCAACAACTAGATGAAGTTTGTTTGTGATACATAATCAAATATACATATGAACAAATTAAAAATGATGATAATAAACCAATTTGTTTTTTAATTACATTGGTGTTGTCTCTTAGATAAGATTAAATATATTTTATAAATTTAATTAATTTTTTTTATTTTATTATTATTAATATTGAAAGCAATTGAATTGTTATTAAACGTTTGTGTATTACTTAGATTATATGTGCATCGTATTATAAATCCAAAAACAAACATTTATGTTTTAATGCACTTTTATGTATGATCTAGAGAAATAACAGTTATTATAGATAAATATGTATGGAATTGAATTTTAAAATAATCATGAAAGTGTATTCATTTTTGTTGAAACAACTAAGTTAATGTACCACAACAAAGAACTGAAATCAATTTTTTTATTTTTGTATCATCTGCTTTTACTTTTTGATGATAAAATATTTATTTTTATATTTTATGTATATATATGAGAGAGAAGCAAGTTATAAGCAAAAATGTTCTAAACTGTGTTATTCCAGTAATTTTAATGTAATTATTTCAAGTTCAGGTTTGATGTTACAAGTTTTCACACTAAAAATTTATCACCTTTTATTTTGACATTTTATAAAAATGAAAATGTAGTGATTAACAGTGAAACCTGATATATCATCTGTTGTTATTAAATTATTGATATTAATAATCAATGCATGTTTCTATTATATATAATAATAAATGTTGTGGTGTTACTAAGGTATATATGTTTAATTGTGTCTTTTTACATGAATAACAAGAAAACGATAGTTATAAAAGAATAATCATATATAACAATTTTCTTATATGTTATTATCAACAAAAGTCGTTTCACGAAAATAGTGTACATCGACGTAGTTACACAATGAACTTGATGATAATCGTTTATTTTTGTTTTATTGTATATCATAGTCATTACACAAAAGTTATTATTTACAATCAATATAATCAATGTAATAAACAACTATTATTTAAGTGGATATTTAATTTGAGAATTATTAAAGTATCAACACTGTTGTATATTTGATTTTTTTGTTTATTTGAACGTTTGATTGCGTAGATAACTTTGTTATGAAAATTGATAAAACGATCTGTTAAGGTTAATGATGATTTTATTTAACCAATTCAACAATGTGTAAATTCAGAAAAAAAATTGTGAAATTTTAAAAAATATTTTTTTGTTATTTGGTAAAGAGGAAAGTAAAATGCCGATTTACAAAAAAAAATAATTAATTCGGCCCAAAAGATCTTAGGATTACTTGGGTCGTGACAATCTCGAAGGTCACCTTAAGTTTTATTTTCCTTACTTTTATTGTTTCTGTTAAGTTATTGTATATATAATATCTAAATTATTATGAACTATATAATATTATAATCAAAAAAAGAGAAGAAAAAGAGAAGTTTTATTTATTAAAAAGATTTAAATAAAAGTAAAAAGTTTCAAAATAGAAAAATAAAAAAAGAAAACGAATGTGATTAAATCGAATTACTCAGAAAAGAGTTGACTTTGCCGATTTTTTTAATTTTTGGTTTTGATTTTCAAAAGATGAAAAAAGCGAAAGACGACCAACTTGAAAATTCCGAGTGAAAAAATTCTGATGAGCGCACAACAGACAAACACTACAAATGACGCGTACACGTTCATTCGCAATGACCTCCCCGACGTCAACGCACTGATAATGACACTTCAACACTCGATGGAAGAACACATCACAACGGCACAACTGACGTTTCCACACAACATCGACACATTAGATGAAGATAGTGCAATAGCTGTGTTAAATGAGTGTGTGTTGAATGAAGAGAAGAGTGAAGAGAATTGCGTCAAGTTTTCACGTGCGATCAAGAAGACCGTTGCAGTGTTAGTTGATGTCGTCGACTTGTTGAAGTCAGCGGGGAGTGCGTGTGAACGTGATGGTGACAGTATTGTAACATTTCGAAATAAAGTGTTACAAATGATAGTTGATCGTGAGAGGAGTCGTGTTGAGAAGGAGCTTACAACAAACACATTTCGAAAGGCGCAGATCCTTGACACGTTCGAAGAGAGAAAAGCTGAAATTGTGATGCGCAAGAAGTCGTCGATATTTGCTGTTAATGACATTGTAAAGACAACAGAAGAGACGCCACACAACCCTTTTAATGACGAGAAAGACGTGAAGAAGACGAAAAGCAAACCAGTGAAGAAACAGAAGAACATCAAAGAGAGCAAAAGCACTGAGAAGACTGAACGGGGTGTTGCACAGAAGTGTCCGAAGCCAATCTACGCAAAAGGTGCTGAGAAAGGAAGTGGACACAACACCACTGTGGCTGTGGAAGAACAGAAGAAAGAGAACAGTGAATTGCCTGAAGTACCACCATACACCACAATCATAGAACCCAACAATAACAATTGTAACAATACTAATAGTAGTAAAGAAGTGAAGGAGGAGACCAGTGATGTAGTTACAATATATACAAATGAGAAGACCGACAAATCAACAGACTTAGAAACAAGTTTTTCAGGGGGAAACGAGTCATATGAAGAGAGTCAAGGGTTTCACAGTTTGTCGACGAATGTGAGAAGTGTGACTGAAATGTCCCAAAGTGTGTCATTTGAGTCTGATGTGTTGAGTGCAGCAGAACGGAACCAACTTGGTGTTTGGAGTGAGAGTCGTGTAGGGAGTGGGGTGTTTGATTATGCGTATGACACATCGCGGTATTGCAGTCAGAAACTAGTGAAGCGGATAAGTGGGTGCGATGGATTTGTTCTGGTCATTGTGTGTGGGACAACAGTCTTTGGTGTTGTTGTGAAGGCAAAAGTCGAGAAAACGGGGGAGTTCACACGTGACGACAACGCCTTTGTGTTTTGTCTTCGAGAGAATGGTGTTGCGAACTACAAGAAATATCCGATTCGTGGTGGGATGTGTAATGTTGCGATGTTGGTTGGGAAGAAGGCGGGGACAAAGTTCTTTGATGTGGGCAAAGGGGACATCAAAGTGTGGTTCAGAAAGCCAGAGATGAAGATGGTGTGTCGGTGCAAACAGCATTCGTATGAATATGGGGACACCCGTGAGACGGCGTGTGGCACTTCAAAAGACGAGATGACAGTCGACAGGTTTGTCGTTTTCAGACTTGAGAAGATCTAATTATTTTATTATTTTGTTGTTTTGTTTGAGAGTCAAAGTATTTGTTTGTGAATATAACAAAAATAACACCAACACACTTTAAAAAGTTTTAAAAAGTTTCAAAAAGTGTCGAAAGTGAATGTGGAGAAAACACAAAAAGAATACAAAAAGAGTCATTTTGAATGTGTCAGTCAACAAAGTACAATGCACAGATTGGACACGCACAAAAAGTTGTGTATTTCCACTGCTTGATACATTCATTGCACATGAAATGGATTGTACAGACGTACTGCCCTTCTCTCCCATCGCCACAACACACACTACACTTTCTCCCTTCAACACGTTTTGCAATTTCGTTGATTTTGTTTGCAGTTCTGTCAGACGCACAATTCTTGTCTTCTTCTTCTTGTTGTTGTGTTGTGTTTGTACAAGACAGCAGACTTGCTATTGTGTGTTGTGTGTCAGTCACTTCGACATACTCAAAAGTGTTCTTCTCAAGTATTCGTGCAACACAACTCCACTCTTCTACAACACATAACACACACAAAAACAATCGCTGCACTCCACAAAACGTCTTCGATGCAACAGCCTCTACCGTCTCGACATTCTGTCGCACTGCACTCTCTGCAAGTGCCACATTGACGTATCGCCTTGTTGTCTTCATCTCAACATATTTTCGAATGAAATCCGTCAAACTATAAATTTGTTCACAATCGGAACACTCACTCAACATTTTCTTCTGTGAGTTGTTTGACACTATGATGATGTTCTGTCGTGCAACATATTCGGCAATATCAGCACACGCAACATCATACGTGTAATCCGCCTCATTTGCTATCATCTCTGCATTCTGTGAAAGTACAGTCACTCCATTTCCAGTCAACAATGCGTCACTCATGACGGGAAAATGCGCCAAATGCATCACTTTGAATACTTCGTCACATTTCTCAATAAAACACAAAGAAGTGTCTTCCTTCACTTTGTTGATTGAATTCAGAAAATGTGCGGCGTATTCATTAAAGTCTTTTGTAATACTTGGTGTTCGTTTTGGTGGAGTGATGTTAAATCGACTCGAAAAGTGCGTGACGGGAACGACAAAAAATGACGTCTTTAAACGACCCAAAACATCAAGAAGAAACGCAGCACTCCTTTGCAGTAAAGTTTCCGACGAGAAGTCAACAAATGTGATTGTTTGTTGTGTTGTTGAAAACTTTTGAAAGATCTTAGGTGATGTTTTGGGTTGGCTTTGAGGGTTTGAAAACGCAAAAAACTTGCGTGTTGCTTTTTCAGTGATGTTGATGGGAAGAAATGAAACCGCGCGAATGTCGTTGCCAGAGAAAAGACACTCATAAAGAACAACACGGTGCCGCAAAAAGTTGTGTGCACTTGGCGTGTCTAAAAGCGACATTACAGAACTGTGGAAATAATTGCGTGTAAATTCTTTTGAATTTGTCTTCATTGTTTTTTTATGTTCGTTTTTATATTTTTATTTTATAATTATTAAAATTCATTTATTTAAACAAGATGTATAGTCGTTTAATTTAATCATTTTTGACTCTCAGTCTTTTTTCATTAAACAAAATCACTCAACAATTTCGATTATAAAACACCAAGACCATCTTTTCAAACTTCAAAACCACTTCTATGTATTCAATAAGAAATCAATATTATTAATCTTTAAGGGACTTATATTTTATTTTAAAAATATGATGAAAGGTTTTTCAATAGTATTTTTATTAAAACATAATTATTAACTATTAAATGGTACGATATTATAATCATAATTATATTATCATAATTAAAATGGAATATATTATAGTTAGTAAATACTATATAATACTATACATAACTAATAGATATAAAACTTATTATAAAAACCCTTTTATATCATGCTCAGATTTCGTGTAGAAGGCAGTGATTTTCGATATGAAGAGTTGCAAAATTATATCAAGAAGTTTGAAAATGCAACATGTGACATGAAAACGGTGAATATGTGTCACGTAAATGTTAAATCCAGAAAATACGCCAAATCTATCGAGAAAAATATCGATGACACGAAACCATCATGTTCCCAAATGTGTGTTGAAATAGGAGGTACAAAAAATTTAATTTATATAACTTTATATAATTTGCCGGATGGGACTACAACAGAGCAAGTGCGTGACTTTTTACAAGAATTTTCAATTGGGGAGATTACTTTATTAGAGGATGTGCCTTTAATCACTATAATTACTCCGTCATATTCCGAGTCAAAGAAAATTCCTCAGCAAATTATTTTGGAGAAGTTTGGCAATGCGAAATTGGTGTTTGAGAGCATACTGAGTTTGAAGTACATTTCAAATACTATTTGCGACAAGAAAGACGCACAACACAACGAAAATGCACAACATGAAATTCGACAAATGAATGAAGAAAGTACACAACAAGAAGTGACACAACAAACACTGCAATCAAACGATTCAAACAACACACAAATGCAAACAACACAAAAATTGAAATGCTCTATTTGTGGGCAACTGGGGCATACACACCAAAATTGTACTTGCACAAAACAGCAACAAGAAGAACTTGAAAAGGTGCGACAAGAAAATTTGAAAGCAAATGAAGAAGGAAAGACTGAAAAGATAGAAAAGAAAGAGTCTGGCGTCGTGAGAGAACACCCAGAAAAGACTTCTCAAACCGCTGATACACATAAAAAGTCAATCGATGTCAAAACGGAAGTACTTGTAAAGGAAATCCACAAAGAAACAGAAATTGAACCAAATAACTTAAAGGAAATGGTTCGTGATTTGGTCAATGAGGTTAAAAGTGAGATTGAAAAAAAAGAATTTAGAATATAAATTAAAAAGGTATTACATCGAGCTTAGAATAGTTACTTTATTATTGAATGATTTTTTTATAGTTTTTGTTTGTGTAATTACAACACTTGAATGGTGTCGTTATGAAGCCTTTTTTATAATCAACAATATGATATATTTTACTATTAAAATATAATTTTAAGTGTGTTGTTATAGCCCATAATAATTGTTTTGCAATTGTTACATAAGAAATGTGGTTTTCATGTTGATTAATTGGTTTAATTATAATAAAAACAACACGATATGTAAAATGTTGTATCTTTTAAACCAAAGATTTGAGGTGTTTAATCTCCATTCAGATCAGTCGATAATGAATACAAAGCATCTTATATTTTACAAGACTATTATTAAGTAACTTTAATTTATATTATTTTTTACACTATTTTATTATAATTGCAATTATGGAATTAAATTTTTTATTATCTTAATTGTTTATTTGGATATTAAAAAAATATAACAAATATCCATACATAATAATTATATTAAAAC